ATACAAGGGCTCAGGAAGGCAGGAAGCAAACACCACACAAAAGAGAGGTGTATGTTGGTAAGGGTCCCAAGAAAGCAGGTGCCACCATCCTGAGCTGTCACTGGAGGTCAAACCCCAGGCCCAGGCCCTCAGCCTGGCCTCTGTCTCAGGCCCATCTCCCAGGACCAGGGCTCTGAAGGAGGCTGAGAGGGAGGGTCCTGCTGCCAGCTCTCTGGACCCAGGATCCCACACAGGAGGGGAGCCTTTTTTCACAAAGCTCAGTTCTTGTATCTTTGCCTTCTGCTTTTTTTCTTCCCTGGACCCCCACCTGAGGGATGGGGCAGATTTCAAAATCTCCTGGGAAGAAGGGGAATCGTCCCTTTCTCCTCCCCAATCCCGTCCCCACTTGTAAGTCTCCGTGTGGCCCTCCTCTGGCCCTGATGCCCTCTCACTTCCATTCCGACTGCTCACCCGCCTCTCATCCCAGTTGCCATCCTTGCCCAGCTAGGCCTCCTTCCCGAGCCTGGCTGCGCAGGAGCACACAGCCCCCGTTGCCCTGGAAGAGCAACCACACCACATTCTGCCGCCCCAGCAGGCCCGCCTGAGCAGACAGGACAGCAGCCCCTCTGGGCCCGGAGTCCCCACGGCCATCCCACCTGCTCCCGCCCCTCAGCCCTGCTCTGGTCAGGCCAGACGACGTTTTCTTCCAGCATATGGGCCTGAAGGTGTAGTCAGGGCAGAAGAGCCATTAAGGGACATGCCCACCCTTTACCCAGCCAGGAAGTCTCCACCAGAAAGAATCCCCACCAGGCCCCCCCTAGGAAATAAGTCCCAAGGCAATGCCTCACTGCCACCCTGTCCCCAGACCGGGACCACTTCCAGCTGGGCTCCCTGTCCCACCTGCTCAATGCCAAGGCCACAGGCTACCAGGAGCTCCCAGACTGGCCAGAAGAAGCCCCAGACCCATCTGTGCGCAATGTGGAGGTCAGCAGGGGTGGAGGGTGGAATTGCGCATGTGGAGGGACAGACAGCAGGGAGCCCTGGTGTCTTGAGTGCTGCCCCCCCCACTCTCCTGACACCCTCCCTACATGCAGGAAGAAGATCTCTCCCTTATTGAGACCCACGTGGGCCTGTTGGGCGAATACACTGAGGTCCCCACCCCACCCCTGTGTGCTGTGTGCCCTCTGCCCAGTGTGCAGTGCTCTCTCCTCTCCCCTCCCCTCCCCTCCCCTTGGGTGCTGCACCCCCATGCCTTCCCTCTGCTCTGTTTTCCTCGGTTTGGCGGTACCCCTCTGTGAGCAGCAGCCCCTCCCCTCCAGGACACTATTCCTTCTTGGGGCCAGGACCAGGTAGGGCCCCAGAAAGGTAGATTGAAGGATAGGAACGCTCTGTGCTTTCCTTTCCCCTCCCCAACCACGATTTAATAACCCTCCCACCCCCTCACCCCCATCTCCAGGTACCTGAATGGACCAAGTGCTCAAACCGGGAGAAGAGGAAGGAGAAGGAGAAACCCTTCTATTCAGACTCTGAGGGGGAGTCAGGCCCCACAGAGTCTGCAGACAGCGGTGAGATGGGCAGAGCAGGGACCCTGTGCTCCTGCCCATGTGTGTGCCTTGTGGCTGAGAGCTGTGTGTGTGTGTGTGTGTGTGTGTGTGTGTTTTGCATGGTTGTGTGTCCAAGGGGGTGTGCACCTGATTATGTGTACCTGTATATGTGTATATGAACCTGAGGGATTGCAGATCTCTATTCATACGGGTCCATCTGCGTTCCAGTTGGTCCATTTGGGGGACCAGGGAAGGTCAAGGGGAGGGTTTGCAGCTTCAGTGCTGAGTCTGAAGCTGGGAGCCCAGGGCCCCTGCTCCGGACCCAGGGAGGCCTGCACACAGGGAGAGAAGCCTGTTATGGTTCCTCCACAGAACCCGAGTCCGAGAGTGAATCGGACAGCAAGAGCAGCAGTGAGAGCGGCTCCGGGGAGTCGAGCAGCGAGTCCGACAATGAAGACGAGGATGAGGAGAAGGGAAGGAGCAGTGAGAGGTATGAGGGGAGCCAGCCAGGTGACTGGTGGGACTCAAGGTCCTCCTCGGAAAAGAAGGGCCAGCATGCAGCCTAACTGAGCCAGTCTCCTGAGCCCCAAGTCTCCTCACGAGTTGGGGGGATCTGCAGACCCCCTGGTCAGCTCACACCATGGCTGCCCTGGCACGCCACAAGAGATCTCATGGGGGCAGCGTAGAGAAGCGATCAGGCCAGGGGCCCTAGCTGGCTTGGGACTTCACCCTTCTGTGAAGCAAGGAGTGGGTTTAGTCTGGGCCTGAGCGCCATTTGCCCCTTGTCCTCCAGTGGGCAGAGTGAGGAGGAAGGTGAAAAGAGGAAGATGAAGAAGAGGAAGAAGGCGCCAGAAGGACAAGGAGAAGGGTCATCCTCAGAGGAGGGCAGCGACTCCAGCAGTAGCTCATCAGAGTCTGACATGTCGTCAGAGACCGAGGAGGAGCCAGTGGAACCTGCCTCCTGGAGGAAAAAGACAGTGAGAGCCTTGGGGCGGGAGGGGGTGGGCTCAGGGACCAGGGCCCTCCCCACCATCCAGAACACAGCATCGTGTCTTCTGCCCGACCGCAAACAGGCCTGGGCACTCCCCTCCCACACCCACATCCCATTTTTCTCTTTCAGCCTCGCAGTAGCAAAAGTGCCCCTGCAGCCAAGGAGATCTCTCTGCTTGACCTAGAGGACTGTGAGTCTGGGTGGCAGGGGTCATGGGGAAGGAGGCATGGGGAGTGTTACTTAGGAAGGTACGTGGGAGGTCTGAATTAGGTCCCTGGGGGCTTGGGGGTGGGGGGAGCAGACAGAACACATCTCCAGGCCTGAGACAGCAGCAGGTGTGGGGTTGGGGTCAAGGGTGGGTATCCACTTACAGCCACCAGGCTGACCCATCTCGCTGTCCATGGTGCTGAACTGTCTGCTCCCTGAGCCCCGGGCTCCCTGCTCAATCCGGGCCAATTCCACTTTGCCTCTCCCCATCATAGTCTTCCTCATCTACTTCCACAGTCACCCCTCCCAGTGTCCAGCCTGTGTCTCCCCCCACGGTTGTGTCCACCAGTCTGGCTGCTGACCTGGAGGGCCTGACACTCACAGACTCCCCGCTGGTGCCCTCGGTGCGTGGGATAGGACAGGGACACAGCTCTGTGCTGCATCCCATGGTGTGGATCTGTGTGTAGGGGGGTGTGATGGAGGGGATGGCTCCAACTCCCTGTTGCTGGATGACCCTAGGTGGGGACAAGGGCAGGACAGGTTCTCTTCTTGCTCATTTCCCTACTTCCCGGCACTTCCTCCCCTCCAGCTGCTGAGCCCAGTGTCGGGTGTCAGGAGGCAGGAACTGTTGCACCGCGTAGCTGGAGAGGGGCTAGCTGTGGACTACACCTTCAGCCGCCAGCCTTTCCCCGGGGACCCCCACATGGTGTCTGTGCACATCCACTTCTCCAACAGCTCTGATAGCCCCATCAAGGGCCTGCATGTGGGCACTCCCAAACTGCCAGCTGGCATCAGCATCCAGGAATTTCCTGAAATTGGTGCGGAAGGGACTTGAACATGCTGGGGAAGGAGGCTCCTGGGAACAGTGGGGTCTTTCTGTGCCTGCTGACATCCTCTCTGTGCCAGGCCAGGGCCCATGCTCTGGGGGCACAGAGACGGCATCTAACACAGTCCGTGTCGTGGTGGACAAGTTAGAAGAGGAAGTGAGCGAGTCCTGATCAGAGCAGGGGGAGCTTGAGGCTTGGTCGTTTGAAGACCACCTTAAATGGGTGGGTGGGAGGTGTTTAGACTTCAGGAGAAACCAGGAACCATCTCCAGGGGCCCAGGAAGTCAGGATTCCGCAGAAGAGTGGGTTCCAGACCTGTCAGGTGACAGTGTCTCTCCCTGTCTCCCTTTCCTTGTCTCTCACCACTGCAGAGTCCCTGGCACCTGGAGAGTCTGCCACTGCTGTCATGGGCATTAATTTCTGTGACTCAACCCAGGTGGCCAACTTCCAGCTGTGGTGTGTGCCCAACTCATGGTGGGGGGAGGGGTGGGCAGGGGAGAGGCGGGGTCACAGGAAACTGGAGCTGGAGGTAGTGGTAGGCGGGGTACGTCATGGTCTGGTGGGTCTGGAAGCCATCCCAGGCCCTCAGGCCTTCCCTCTCTCCTGCTGCCACAAGCCCCGCCCCAGACAAATGGGAGGCGAGGGGAGAGATGCTGGCCTCACTTTCTCTCCCTCTGCCTTCTCCCACCCTCCCCAGCACCCAAACACGACAGTTCTACGTCTCCATTCAGCCACCTGTTGGGGAGCTGATGGCCCCCGTGTTCGTGAGTGAGAATGAGTTCAAGAAGGAACAGGGTGAGTGCTCCCTGGGGGAGGGCAGGGAGGGGGCTCCGCAGCTCCCACTGGGGCTCATTCGGCCCCACCCCACAGTCCTGCTGCAGGACCCGCAGCTCCTTCAGACAGGGAGGCCTCGCAGCTGTGGCTCCAGCCAGGGCTTCGCAGGCCAGGACACTGCAGTGAGGCTTTGGAGAGAGGAGGGGCTCAGGAAATTCTAAGCCAGCATTCCAACTGAGGGAAACATCATGAACAGGTGTTGAAAGTTTACAGGGAGAGAGAAGGGGAGTAGTTTGGTTTGGGGCATAGGAGTCCCTAGTACAGGGGAGTAGTAAGAACAAAGCTGAAAATACGTTTGATCTCATTTCTGGAAGCCTCGAATGCTATGCTACAGGGTTTCAGACCTAGAATTTCAGAGCTGGAAGTGCTCACAGAGGTTTACTGGCTCCAGCTCCATTGTTAGAGAAATAAGGACGGTAGATTTCATTTTCCTAGCAGTGGAGGAGTCATTGAAGATTTCTGAGCGAGGAAGAGGCCAGGGTCAGACCTATGCTTCAGAAAGAGGGATCTGGCAGCGTTCACAGCTGGAACTGGGAGAACCTGCAGCAGGAAGAAGGCAGGGCAGCCTCAGTGGGCCCTTTGTGAGCCCTGGTTGAAGTTTCGAACTGCCACTCACTTGGTGTGTGACCTGGGACCAAATTCTGTGACCAGTTATAATGCCATTGCAGTAGATCGGTGGGAGATGGTGAGGACCAGGATTAGAGCCCTGACAAAGGGAATGGAGGTTTAGGGTGGAGTGGGAGGTGGTACCGGGAAAAGGGAAGTCATTGGCATTTTCCCTGAGGAGGAGGCGTGTAAGCTGTTCTAGAATTTCTGGCTGGGATGGTAGGGAGAATGGCAGAGCCCTTCACCTAGACCAGGGGTCAGCACACTTTTTCTGTAATGGGCCATAAAGCAAATGTTTTAGGTTCTATGGGTCATGTGGTCTCTGCTGCAGTTACACAGCCCTGCCACTGTAACACAAACAGGCCGCAGATAACACGTAAATAAATGAGTGTGGCTGTGTTCCTATAAAATTCTATTTATGGACACTTAACCATTTCAATTTCATACAATTTTCATGCATCATTAAATTAATCTTTTGATTTCCCCCCTCCCCAGCATTTAAAAATATGGAAAACACTGTAGGCCACACAGGTGGTGGGCTGGATTTGGCCCGCAGGCTGTAATTTGATTTGGAGTAAAGAAGCATGGGTTGGGGTGATGGAGGAGGGAAGTTCATGGTTACTTTGGGATAAGCTATGGATAAAGTGCATTGGATAAAGTGCAATGCATTTTGGGAAATTCAAGGACAGGTGTTTGGTATGCAACTGAAAATGTGGGTCTGTGCCCAGGAAACACTTCTAGGCTGGAGTCATGAGCATAGAGGTGATAATTGAAGCTGTAAGTGTGAGTGAGATCACTCTGGGGGAGAGGTGAGTGGCAAGACAAGAAGGCCAAGGACCATCCTTAAGGAAAATTTGCATTTGTCAGGAGAAAAAGGAGGAAAGGGTAGGAGAAGGAATGGAGCGAGAGGTGACAGGAGAACCAGGAGAGATGAGAAGGCAAAGAGTGCCTTGGGGTGTCTGCGGGCCAGGAGGACCAGGACCTTCAGATCCTGCAGATAGGAGGCCAGTGCCAACATCAGAGAGAGGAGGTCATTGCAAAAGGGGGCGAGGCCAAGTGCAGGGGGTTGAAGGCGACCAGGCTTGAGGAAACGGAGTCCTCTTTGGAGGACTTTGGCCAAGAATGGCGAGGGAGACACAGCCTTGGCATGACGAAGACTCTTGCTTCTGGGGAGGACTCCTTAGGAATGAGGAGACTTGAACATGGAGAGTCTAAGGGTACAGAGTCAAGAAAAAGTCACCTGTCAGGAATGGAGGGGAGAGAAGGAACAGGAGACGTGTGAGTTCTCGGAGGGAAAAGAATGGGAGAAGCAGCAGAGGGAGGAGACAGAGGCTGAAGAGGAGGTGGGCAGGAGGGCAGGCGAGGAAGCACACACAGCTGGCCGAGAGCGTGTGAGTGGAGAGGAGAGGTCAGCCCTGTAGAGTGAGGGGTTCCAGGGCTGCTGCGAGGACCTGGGGGCTTCAGGAGCCTGGCCAGGTCTGGAGCTGCTGCCGCAGGTGAAGTTCAGGGTCCAGCTGTGTGGGCTGCATGTGCCTGCTGGCTTGTCGGGGGAGGACCAGGGCCTTGGCCAGGAGTGCACCAGCCACCAGTCCTCCCTGTGAGGACTCAGCCTCAGGAGCTGGGAGGCATTTGAACTTGGTTAGAGAGTGCACCAAGAAAGACCAAGGGGTCTGGGGTTCAGGATGGAAGAAACCTCTAAGAAGTGCCTGGCCATCAAGTTCGTCGGTCACTCCCACGGGGCTGATGGCCCAGATGTCTGACAGTGGGGAAGTGCCAAATCAGTCTTCGGTCACCAACATGGAGCACTGGGTGGATCTGGGGAGGCAGACAAAGGCTTCCTGAAGGAGGGCCAGGCCAGGAGAAGCACCCCCTCGCCACGACTGGGGAGGGAGAGTCAGAGCTGCCCAGTCTGAGGAAAACTTGGTGAGGATGCTTAGTGGGCAGACCCAGGTGGACTCACCATGGCTCTGCCCTCATATGACCTCTACCCCCAGGGAAGCTGATGGGCATGAACGAGATCACAGAGAAGCTGACGCTGCCGGACACGTGTCGAAGTGACCACATTGTGGTACAGAAAGTGACCGCCACTGCCAACCTGGGCCGTGTCCCTTGTGGGACGTCTGATGAGTACAGGTACTAGGCCACTAGCAGAGAGGAAGAGATGGGCTCTTGGGCCTGGTTTGAAGGAGGGGCCCCGTGCCCCAGGCCTGAGCCCCTCCCTCTACTCCCACCTCAGGTTTGCAGGGAGGACGTTGGCCAGCGGGAGCCTGGTCCTGCTGACCCTGGATGCACGGCCCGCTGGACCTGCCCAGCTGACAGTCAACAGCGAAAAGATGGTGATTGGCACCATGCTGGTGAAGGACGTGGTACAGGCCCTGACCCAGTGATGCCCAAGTGCTGTAACTTCTTTGACCCCCACTTGTCCCTCCCTTGTGACATCTGGGCTGTTCGCCCCGTTCTCTCTCTCTCTCTCTCTCTCTCTCTCTCTCTCTCTCTCTCTCTCTCTCTCACTCACACACACACACACACACACCCATGTCAGGTAGCATCCAGGGGTTCCTTCCTCCCTCTGGTCATTATCGGGCTTCCTCCCAGTTTCCCTCCTCATGGGGTCCTTAGTGAATTTAGTGTGCAGACGGAGATAGCAGCCCCTCCCCATCAGTCTTCCCAGCTTTATGTAGCTATTTATGTAGTAAAATCTCAATAAATGTCTTCTCCCTTGATGCTGGCTCACCTTTCCTTTCTTCTGGGTTCTGTCTAAGGGGGTTGGGGGGAGAGCTGCTAAGAGTGACTGTTTGGCCCTTGTCAATGATCACTACTGACCTTCTAGGGGAGGCTGTGACTCTGCTTGGACCCCCAAGATGACCGTCTCTGAGTCTCCAGGCGTCTCTGTGGGAGAGATATCTGAGCAGGGAGGAGAGGCCAAGCTGGAAGAGCTCCCTAGTCCTGTTTATGAGCCTCTGCAAAAGCAAGGCCTCTTCGATGGCTGGCAGTTCCCCTTGGTCCCCCTCATGGGCCCTTGGGAAGGAAGATTCATAATATGGGGAGTTCCCCCAAACAGGTGCGAGGTTCAAAATACGCAGACTACATCTGGATACGGGCCCTGGAGCCCCCAGCTGGGGGGAAGGTGACCCAGCTAGACTGGAGGGGGAGGAACAGATGTAGAGCAGTGTTCCCCACACTGCCTTGCACGTCAGCCCACCTGGTTGTATTAACATGCAGACTCAGAGCAGCAGGTCGCGTGGGACCCGAGGTGCTGCATTTCTAACACGGTCCCAGCCATGCTGTTGCTCCATGGACATGCTTGAGTAGGAATCCTAGAGAGCTCTCCATTCCTGGGACAAACTCCTGGGGTGGAGTGAGGGTCAGGGCCCTCCCTGATGCCTCTCCCGGTGAGGAGAGGCTGAATGAGTAGTGGTTCCAAAGGGTGGGAAAGGTACTTCATTGGCCATGTGTTCTAAAAAAAGTCTGTGATCAAGTAAGTTTAGGAGTCGTGGATTTAAATAAGTTTACTCCCCACAAGTCTTCTCAGAGACTTTACTATGCTAATATGCACTCTCTCACTCTCTCACACACACACACACACACACACACACACACGCACGCACGCCAGAGCTCCCAGTGTTACTCAGACTTGGCTGGGACCTTGAAGTGCTTTTGCCCAGACATCCTGATGGACAGGGTGATGGGGAGCACACACTCCAGTGACTGTTGATGATGTGGGACCTCAGCCTCTGATCCTCCAGGACCGGGGCTCTTGTTCCTTGGCTACAGCCCTGTCACTGAAGTGTCCTGAGCAAGTCTGCTCCGGGGAGAGATGGGTGAAGCAGGTTTGGGAGGGGTTGGGGGCAGGCAGCCGCACCGGGACTGGCAGTGTGGGGTAGAGCACATGTGGGCCCAGAAGGCCGGGGTGTGATGTAAGCCTGACCACAGGCGCCGACAGGTCAGAGGACAGTGAACTCAGTGAGGGGCTGGGAATGGGACTCGTCCAGGATGGCTGCTGCTCTGGCAAACGAGTAAGAGATATGGCTTCAGTTTCAGGCCAGGCTGTAGCAACTGGCTAGCTGCAAGGGTGGGGAACAGATCCATCTAGGAACCCTAAGGAAGCCGCTGTCGGGACCCCATGGGTGGGGCATTAGTTGTGCCCACAGCTGAGCCCCCTTCCAGCCATTAGGGCAAGGCCCTTTGCCAGTTCAGCACCTTCATCTGGGCATCTTGAGGGTCACCTCCTCCTAGCATAGCCTACAGATCAAAAGGATGGGTGTTGGGTGTGTAACTCGGTGTGACAGGACTCTGCCTGGCCTGAGTGGACAAGGAATGGAAAATAGGCACATTCAGACCCACCAGAGGGCCTGGCCCCTGGACAACCAGGATCCTCAGCACCAATTTCTTCCCTGACTCCCCAGCCACATTCATGTCCCTCAGTCACCCAAGTTGCTCATACGGCTCCACATGACGGGGGTGGGACTGCCTTAGGTCCCTCCCCCCCCCCACCCAGCATTTATGGAGTAGCCCATGTGTGCTCGGCACTGTGATGACAAAGCCTGGTCAGTTTTATCTTGCAGGTCAAGAGGAGGAGGATGAATAGTGCCTGGAAGAGAGGTATGGAGAACGGGGTAAAGTGGGGTGCACCTTCCTGGATCTTGACTTGATAGTGCTAGTCAGACCCCATTGTCACCACCTACCCCCCCCCATCCCGCTGACCTGTCTCCCAAGAGAAAGCGCTTAGGGCCACACTGTTTGATCCTGACCATTGGGAACCCCATCCTTATCACCCCCTGACTGCAGATGATGCTTTGGAGTCCCTGAGGCCTCGCAGCTGGGGCTGGGACAGTGTTGGAGAGGGTGAGCTGAGCGGTGGATGCCTGCACCCCCTGAACGTCCCTTTAGTCACTTATCCTGATGCCAAGGACCCTCCAATTTTAGCCCCTTTCAGATCTTCCACCCCAGACTCTGCCTGAATGGAGCTCCCACAGCTTCCCTGCGGTACCTGGTGGATAGAGGTGGGCAGTAGCTCAGAAAGAATACTTCTCGTCTCTCTGGACCTTCCCAGATACAAATGCCCGTTTTGGGGACTATTAAAGGAAAACATTTTTAAATATAATATTCATGTAGAAAATTGTACAAATCACGAGTACAATTTGATGAGTAAACAGCATGACAGCATGAGGCCTGCCTTGTGCCTCCTTCCAGTTTGGGGCAACCAGTGTTTTATTTTGCGCAGAGATCACAGAGCTCTGAAGTGGTTCAACACCAGACTCCAAATGGCAGTGGGACCCCAGAGGCCAGCATGACGTGTGACTTGTGGACACGGTGGCATATGCTGCTCTCTGGGGCTACTGGGGATGTGGCAGACATGGGATGTGGAGATAAGTGGGGCTGTCTTGTTTTGACAGAGAGAATGTGAGGGACCAAGGGACTTTGAGGGCTCGGGCAAGGTGACTGGTCTAGGCCTTGCTGTGCCAGGACGCAGCTGCACCTGCAGAGGGACGGCAGGGAGAGGTGAGGCTTGGTCCTTCTCACCGGGACCAAGGCGGGACTGAGCCTGGGCTCCCAACAAGAACAGCTGCATGCTCTCTGTAACTCCCTGTCAGTTTCCCCAGCCGCAAACAAAGGGATTAGCCTTTCAGGTTCACACGTCTCCTTGTCCTGAGACTCT